CCCCAAAACCCCAAAACCCCAAAACCCCAAAACCCCTTAGTTCAAAGTATTAGTTGATAAACAGTGAAAATAAATTCAAATAAAATTTTATTTCGCAAAATAAAAAGATGAGAAAGAGTGCAGCAAAGAAGGTATGTGCATATTTTCCGTTCAGATACATAGCATCAAAGCACACTTATATATTTCCTTGGGTAGTTCTCCCGTCTCAGAGAAATAATCGTTTATAAAGAGTTAGTTTATACAATTTCAAGACCCTTCATCTTTTTATACATCCTAATAACCTGATTAACTGTATCATAACTTAGAGAAGTTTTAGCCCGGAAATTGGAGGCCATAACTAACAGTGTAAAAAAGTTACTTGCCCCCTTTGTTTCTCCAGTCTGTTCTGATTTCTCTTTGAATGTATTTTTAAGTTAATGGGCTTCAGGCTAAATTTTGCTGAAACTAATAATTCTGCGCAAATCCAAATAGATTATCAGAACCTGACCAAATTATAGGGCGCCTACGACCCTGGAGAAGAGAGTTACGAAGAAGAGAACTCAAGAGCAGTTTACGAGAGACATATTGAAGAAGGAAGAAGACTTGAAGCAGAACTTCGCGAAAGAGATAGAGATATTTATAACCTCAGGGACGAAGTCAGATCTCTCAAAAGACACTATGTTGGAACTACCCATTACTATGACAGCGATAAGAGAGTTCTCGATAATGCCCTTGCGAAAGAAGAAGAGCTACAGAATCACCTTGCCGACCTCCAGAATGAGATCGACAGAATCAATAGAGAGCATGAGAATGCTCATAACGAGATTTCTAACGCTGAATCTGAAATTAATGAGAATGACAAAAACTTGACAAGAATTGTCGAGACTATCAAGCAAGTTGAGAATGAAATTTGGGAGCAAAAGAATGTCAACAGAGAATTAGACATTGAACTCAGAGAAAAAGAGAGGATTCTAGAAGACATCAAACATTCATCAGCTTATGAAGGCCATAGATCAGGTCACTACCATGACAAAAAGATAGCTCTTGAAGATGAGGCCAAACGTGCTGAAGATCAGGTCATCCTCTTGAGACAAATATACGCTAAACTTGTTGATGAAAGAAATAGCAAAGATGCCGATATGGATGCTGATTCTAGAAAAAGTAATTTAGATGAGTAATTATTTTAGATGCAACCGAGCAGAAGCTTGAGAGACTCAAAGAACAAATCCTAACAGATGTCAAAGAAATGAAGGGTCTTGATAAAGAGAGAGAAGACATATTTAGAGAGATCCATGAGCACGAAAGAAAGAAGCAAACTTCTCTCAACGAGCTCTATCATTTGAAGAGAAATAGAGAGGAACTAGAGAAAAAGAACATTCAGCTATCTGATATAGTCAAGCAGCATGTCAACAGAGACAGCGGTAAGACCTACCTAAAACTTTGCTCATGATATATTATAGAGGTGCAAGAAGCTCTTGATAAAGCAACTAGGATCAGAGATATTCAAAAGACATTCTTGTCCAAAGCAAAGAAGAGATAATTAATGTTTATCTTTTAGCTCAACTAACTATTCTATCAAAGGGGTTTTGGGGTTTTGGGGTTTTGGGGTTTTGGGGTTTTGGGG